CCAAACATATGTAGTTGTGAGCCTTCGGGGATCTCCTCATGGGGCCATGAAGCATGCGAAGTGGGCGGGGCCGCCATGTGGGCGCTGCCACTGGTGCTTTAGGCGGAACGCACTAAGGGGCGGCGAAAAGTGTGAGGGGTGCGCCGCAGTCAGGCGGGGCCGCCACTGGGGCCTTCGGTGGAGCTCCCTATGGGGCCACGAAACAATGTAATGGGTAGGGGAAGTGAATGCGACTACAGCCACCGGGGCCTTCGGTGCAGCTTCCCATGAAGCCACGAAGCGCTGTGCTGGGGCGGGGGAACGCATGCGAACACCGCCACTGGGCCTTTCGGTGGAGCTCCCTATGGGACCACGAAACGCTGCACTGGGTGGGGAAACCACATACGAGTGCATCTACTGAGGCCTTCAGTCGAGCTCCCTCTGGGGCCACGAAGCGCTGTACTGGGTGGGGGTGACACATGCGGGTGGTGTCACTGGGGCCTTCGGTGGAGCTCCCTATATGGGGCCACGAAACGCTGTACTGAGTGGGGGGTGACGCGTGCGGGCGGTGCCACTGGGGAATTCGGTGGATCTCCCTATGGGGCCAAGAAACGTTGTACTGGCTGGGGGGTGACGCATGCGGGCGGTGCCACTGGGGCCTTCGGTGGAGTTCCCAACGGGGCCACGAAACGTTGTACTGGGTGGGGGTCACGCATGCGGGCGGTGCCACTGGGGCCTTCGGTGGAGCTCCCTCGGGGGCCACGAAACGCTGTACTGGCTGGGGCGTGACGCATGCGGCCGGTGCCGACGGGGCCTTCGGTGGATCTCCGCATGGGGCCACGAAGCGCTGTACTGGGTGGGAGGTGACGCATGCGGGCGGTGCCACTGCGGCCTTCAGTGGAGCTCACTTTGGGCAACACGGAACGCTGTACTAGGTGGGGGTGACGCATGCGGGCGGTGCCATTGGGGCCTTCGGTGCAGCTCCCCATGAGGCCACGAAACTGCCTTCGGTGGAGCTCCCTATGATGCCAAGAATCGTTGTACTGGCTGGCGGGTGACGCATGCGTGCGGTGCCACTGGGGCCTTCGGTGGAGCTCCCAGTGGGACTGCGAAACGCTGTACTGGGAGGGGGGTGACGCCACTGGGGACTTTTGTGGAGCTCCCTAGAGGGCCACGAAACGTTGTATTGGGTGGGGGCGACGCATGCGGGCGGTGCCACTGGGGCCTTCGGTGGAGTTCCCTAAGGGGCCACGAAGCGCTGTACTGGGTGGTGGGTGACGCATGCAGGCGGTGCCAATGGGGGTGACGTATGCGGGCGGTGCCGATGAGGCTTTCGGTGGAGTTCCCACTGGGGTTACGAAGCGTTGTACTTGGTGTGGGTGACGCATGCGGGCGGCGCCACTGGGGCCTTCGGTGGAGCCTTCTATGGGGCCACGCAGCGCTGCATTGGGTGGGGGGTGACGCAAGCGGGCGGTGCCACTGGGGCTTTCGGTGGAGCTCCCTATGGGGCCACGCAACGCTGCACTGGGTGGGGGTTACGCATGCGGGCTGTGCCATTGGGGTTTTCGGTGGAGCTCCCTAAGGGGCAAAGAAACGTGTGAGGGGTGTGCTGAAACCGGTGATGGTGACGATGATGCTGGAGGGACGGAGGAAGGGAGGAGGAAGGAAGGAACGCGGGGACCGGCTCTTCAAAACGAGGACCCAACACCACAGGATGGTTGGGAACAAACGCATACGTCAGATGGGTCGCTGGAGAAGTGGGGCCACACTCTGTTGCATGGCACTGTAAAAGTCTCCGATGTCGGAGGAACCGTTCACAGCCTCGGATCTGAAATCCGCTTCTTCTGATGAGCGCGACTCTGAAGCTTCGCCCACAGCACGGATTGTCAAGGCGCGCAGAGAAGGAAGGTGAGAGGATTGCAGGCACTCTCGGGGAGCCGAACAATAAAGACCATAAGTCCAAGGATATCGGACAGGGCGGCGTGCGGGCAGCGGCGGCGGGGAGACCGCTTGGGAGAAGGAAAGGGGGGGGACGTTTGGGAGAGGGGGAGAGTGGGGGGGCAAGGAGACGACGCGTGCCTCAACGCCTGCCCTGCGCCCATGCTGTCCTTGCCCAGTGGACTCAGGCGAAGCGAAACAAAGAAACAAACAAACAAATTAGCCTGACGAAGGACCCAACCATGTGCAGTTGTGAATACTGCAATTATGAATATCATCTTCGCCCGCGCTCCCTATGGGGCCACGAACCGCGTGAGGGGCGTGCCGACATGCGTGGCGGGGCACACAACGCGAGCGAAGACGATAGGTCTGTGTGCGAGAGACTGACAGTCACTGAGAGCGAGTGAATCTGATTGTGGATGAGTCTCAGCGCGCGTGAGTCTACGTGCATAAATGTCGACGCCCATGTCAGCACGCCTCTCCCGAAGTTCGCGCCCGCTTCCTTCCCGTTCTTTTTCTCCCTCTTTGCCCGTGCACGCCCGCGTCCAAGGGTGCGGGCGCGGCGCCGCACGGAGTCCCCGCGACGCGCGCTGGTCGCCCCGAAGGGGTCCCGGCGACGCTCGCGGGCCTTCGTGTGCGGAGCAGAGAGAGCGAGCAGGCTGGCTCCCGCATGGGATGCGCGGCCCGAAAGCGGCCTCAACACGTCGACTACGGCGAGAAACCTCCGAAAATCGAAAGTCGCCGCCGTGCGAACTCCGCCACTGGGTCGACATGCGAATTCCGCCACGGAAACCTTAGGTGGAGCTCCCTGTGGGGACACGAAACGCTGTACTGGGTGGTGGATGACGCATGCGGGCGGTCCCACAGGGCCTTCGGTGGAGCCTCCTATGGGGCCACGAAACGCTGTACCTTCGGTGGGGCCCAGTATGGGGCCACGAAACGCTGCACTGAAAGGTGGATGACGCATGCGGGCGGTCCAACCAGGGCCTTCGGTGGAGCTCCCTATGGAGCCACGAAGCGCTGTCCTGGGTGGTGGATGACGCATGCGGGCGGTCCCACCGGGGCCTTCGGTGGAGCCCCCAATGGGGCCACGAAGCGCTGTACTGGGAGGTGGATGACGCATGCGGGCGGTCCCACTGGAGCCTTCGGTGGAGCTCCCTATGGGGTCACGAAACGCTGTGCTGGGTGGTGGATGACGCATGCGGGCGGTCCAACCAGGGCCTTCGGTGGAACTCCCTTATGGGGCCACGAATCGCTGTACTGGGTGGTGGATGACGCATGCGGGCGGTACCACGGGGGCCTTCGGTGGAGCTCCCTATGGGGCCACGAAGCGCTGCACTGGGTGGTGGATGACGCATGCGGGCGGTCCCACTGGGGCCTTCGGTGCAGCCCTCCATCGGGCCACGAAGCGCTGTACTGGGTGGTGGATGACGCATGCGGGCGGTCCCACTGGAGCCTTCGGTGGAGCCCCCATGGGCCACGAAATGCTGCGCTGGGTGGTGGATGACGCATGCGGGTGGTCCCACTGGATCCTTCGGTGGAGTTCCCGATAGGGCCACGAAACGCTGTGCTGGGTGGTGGATGACGCGTGCGGGCGGTCCCACTGGGGCCTTCGATGGAGCCCCCTATGGGGCCACGAAGCGCTGTGCTGGGTGGTGGATGACGTATGCGGGTGGTCCCACTGGAGCCTTCGGTGGAGTTCCCTATGGGGTCACGAAACGCTGTGCTCGGTGGTTGATGACGCACGCGGGCGGCCCCACTGGAGCCTTCGGTGGAGCTAGCTCCCTATGAGGCCACGAAATGAGGGCGGAGGGGGAGGAGGAGGAAGGAAGGAAGGAAGGAAGGAAGGAAGGAAAAAAGGAAGGAAGGAAGGAAGGAAGGAAGGAAGGAAGGAGAAGGCGGGGCGCTTTCTCTTCAAAGCGAGGACCCAACAACACAGGTTGGTTGGAGAATAAACAGAAATACTCCAGGATGACCCAACAAATCGAATTATCCCGGCAAAGCAACCTAACAGCGATGTGTAGGAACATATCTGGAAGCATTCCCCTTAAGATTCAGATGAGAATCCAGTTGTAGAATTCTGCTGTTCTCGCAGTCGTAGTCGCATTCGCGATGACAGTCGCAGTGGCAACGGCAGTCGCAGTCACAGCCTCAGCCTGCCTCAGCCTCAGCCTGCCTCTGCCTCAGCCTCAGCCTGCCTCAGCCTCAGCCTCAGTCTGCTTTCAGCCTCGGCCTCAGCCTAAGCCTGCCTCAGCCTCAGCCTGCCTCAGCCTCACCCTGCATCAGCCTCAGCCTCAGCCTCAGCCTCAGCCTGCCTCAGCATCAGCCTGCCTCAGCCTCAGCCTCAGCCTGCCTCTGCCTCAGCCTCAACCTGCCTCAGCCTCAGCCTCAGTCTGCCTTCAGCCTCGGCCTCAGCCTCAGCCTGCCTCAGCCTCAGCCTGCCTCAGCCTCAGCATCAGCCTGCCTCAGCATTTAAAAAAGGGCCCGGGAATGGAGTTCTGGGAACTCGAAGAACGCGAAGTGGCCTACAGTTGGCTCCAGACATTCAAAATCATGCCCAGGAATGGAGTTCTGGGAACTCGAAGACCACGAAGTGGCCTACAGTTGGCTCCGGGCATTCCAAATCATGCCCAGGAATGAAGTTCTGGGAACTCGAAGACCACGAAGTGGCCTACAGTTGGCTCCGGGCATTCCAAATCATGCCCAGGAATGGAGTTCTAGGAACTCGAAGAACACGAAGTGGCCTACAGTTGGCTCCAGACATTCAAAATCATGCCCAGGAATGGAGTTCTGGGAACTCGAAGACCACGAAGTGGCCTACAGTTAGCTAAAAAAGGAGTCCCCGGTTTTCCGCGGCACCCGTCCGGCATCTGCCCAGACCCCCCTGGGGAGTCATGATGCTCTCTTTTGAGACCACAAGAAACCTATTAGTCTTCGCTGTTAGGTAAAAAGTGTGCCCATCATATGTTTGATGACTTGTGCATTTTCTTCCTGTAGAAAAACACGCCCGACTTAACCCTTGTCCTCCCCGAGGGGGGATGGGGGGAGGGAGATGAGGGCGGCGGGGTGAGGGAGGCGGCGTCCTTGGTCGCCGTCTCGAACAAGTCCTGGCCGCGTATGCTCTCCATGACGACGTAGTAGTTCCTGCTGGTCTCGATCACCTCCAGACGAGGCCAACCCTCCGCAAGGAGAGGGGATGAGAACCGAGTGGACCGATCTGTTCTTGCTCCCTTGTGGCTGTGGAGGCGAACGCCGATCTTTTCGATCGCGTTCTCCGACAGCCTCTGGGGGCGCCCGTTGAGACACCCAGAGGCCTAATTACGGGACCGCTTGCAGTTACTGTCGTTCCGCTTCCCTCCCTCCCCCCCTCCCTCCCTCCCTCCCAGCCCCTCCCCACATTCCACCTCAGTTCACCTCTCCTCCCCTCCTCGGACTGCTCGTTCACAGGCCATCATAAGCCATATTCCAGGGCCCTTTGCAAAAAGCACACTCGACCTCGGGCCGTCCCAAACAATCGAGCCAGGATCCTCCTCCTCCTCCGGAGAAGGAGGAGGAGGAGGCCGAGGGTCCTTCCAGAAGGCTCCAGAGAGGCCATGGGAGACTCCCTCTGCAGAGCTCCCTGCAGGCTCCTGGAGGCCCACACGAAAATGCAAAGCGCGCCCATCAGCCTCGCTCCTCGAACCTGGACTTAGGCCGGGCATGTCCCACTACAGTTGGATTCTAGACGACAAATAAAAAACATAGGCACACACACATATATATATATATATACAAGAATGATCAAAACATACTCAAAATCGTCCCCATACTATTTTTGACTATTTTTGAATACTCCCCCTGTAGAGGGCCAGGCCCGACTTCAACCTGGACCCTCAGACCAGGAGCGAGCGAACCCAGGGACGACCGACGACGGCGAGACGACGGCGTCGAACGCGGGCGGCGGCGGCACAGGGGGCAGCAGAGGCGGGAGGGCCTTCGGCCCAGGAGGCCCCCAAGGCCGCAGAACAGGACGGAAGGAAAAAAATACGCGAGGAGGAGGAGGAGGACGAGGAGGACGAGGAGGAGGAGGACGGAAAGAAAAAAATACGCGATGAGGAGGAGGAGGAGGAGGAGGAGGAGGAGGAGGAGGAGAGGAGGAAGAGGCCGCTGCGACCCCGCATGGGGGGAAGCGGGCCCGGAGGGAAACACGGGTGCCGAACCCCGGGGGCCTCGGCCCCCGGGGGACCGCTCCTCCTCCCGAGAGTCGACGTCGGACGACCGCGGGGCCCGTGGAGGGCTCCACGGAGCCAGGGCAGCGCAAAAAAACCTCAGGACCCGTTTCCCTCGCTGGCCATCGCTCGGACGTCCATTCCCTGTGTTTTGGTTGTTTCGTGCGTGGATGTTTTCGCCAAATCATCAAGGATGCTCCTCGATGGTCCTCGCCGAAGGAAAAATGCACACGTCCGAGCGATGCCAAACTCAAGACCCGTACCCTCGAGAGAAAAAACGGCATGGACATAAACTTTTGGCCCTCCGCGCAGATGTCTGGGATCTGCGCTGGACCCCCCTCCCTGGCGCGCGGAGCGCTCCAGGGGCGGCGCCGGGGGCGCCACCAGGGAGGCCCCAGCGCAGATCTAAGAAATCCGCGCGGAGCGCTAAAAATTTATGCGTATTCCGTTTCTCTTATTCGAACGGAGCCGAACCGGCGAAACCACTCAGGACCCGTTTAACCTTCGGTGGCAACTCTTGGGAGCCTCCCGTACCATCTTGTCGGCTCCTGCGACTCCACGCTGATCGACGCCAAACCGACGCCTCATCGACGCTAGCCGACGCCGAGTCGGCGCTACCTCATCGCCTCCCCAACGCTAACCGACGCTGACCGACGCTAAAGACAGAATTAAGAGGGTACACCAGACTCCTATGCTTTGCTACCGAAATTTATGTTTCTGCCGTTTGTTCTTCCCGACGAAGCCAAACCGGCGAACAAAACTCAGGACCCGGGGAAACCAAAGGTACCGATACCGCTACTGCCCGGACGCCTGCCGGGGCGCGTTCTGACCAGGATTCCGAGGCAAATCCAGCGGTGGCGACGAGGGCCTCCCAGGAGGCCCAGAAGCAACTCAAACATTATGGAAAGCTTGCACGGGATCTGCCCACAACGTTTCCCAGACAGATGGTCTTCCAGGACGGGCAGGCGGGCGAGATCTTACCCAGAAGGCAGCGCCAGCGAACGCGGGCGCGGGGCGTCGCAAGCGGCAGGGCGGTGCGAGGTGCGGGCGCGAGAGCGGGCGGCAACGAGGCAAGAGAGAAAGGGGTATGGGACGCACAGAGACACACGAATTACTATGCATTATCCTCGGAGGCGTGCGTCCGACCCGAACATGTAGTCCGCCGATCTGGCGTGTGAGTTTCTGAGAGCGTGGGCTTGAGCTCGCTCAAGCTTCGCTCTGCGGGGGGGGGACCTCATTTCCGACCTAATTCAGTGCTTCGGTTCGGGAGTGGGGGGGGACTTCATTTCCGACCTAATTCAGTGCTTCGCACCCCCTCCCCCCTCCAGAGCGAGCCCTCCCCCCTGCAGAGCGCCCCCCCCCCCCCCCTGCCAGCCCACCCCCCCCTGCAGAGCGGACCCCCCCCTGCAGCCCCCCCCCCCTGCAGAGCCTCCCCCCCTGGAGCCCCCACCCCCCTCAGAGCGTACCCCCCCCTGCCCCCCCCCCCGCAGAGCAGCCCCCCCCATCCTGCACCCTCTCCCCCTGCAAAGCAAACCCCCCCCCCTGCAGCCCAACCCCCCCCCCTCCCCATGCAGAGGCGGACCCCGCTCCGTGCAGCCCCCCCCCTGCAGAGCGGACGCCCCCCCCTCCCCTGCCCCCCCCCTCCCCCTGCAGAGCAGACTTCCTCTCCTGCAGCCCCCCCCTCCTTCAGAGCGGACCACCCCTCTCCCCTGCAGCCCCTCCCTCTGCGAGCTGAGCCCCCTGCAGAGCTAGACCCCCCCCCTGCCAACCCAGCTCCCCCCCTTCCGTCGTCGTCCGTCGTCGTCGGCGTCGTCGTCGTCGTCGTCGTTCGTCGGTCGTCGTGTCGTCGTCGTCGTCGTCGTCGTCGGTCGTCGTCGTCGTCGTCGTCGTCGTCGTCCGTCGTCGTCGGTCGTCGTCGTCGTCGTCGTCTCGTCGATCGCGTCTTCGTCGTCGTCGTCGTCGTCGTCGTCCGTCGTCGTTCCGCGTCGTCGTCGTCGTCGTCGTCGTCGTCGTCGTCGTCGTCGTCGTCGTCGTCGTCGTCGTCGTCCGTCGGTCCGTCGTCGTCGTCGTCGTCGTCGTCGTCGTCGTCGTCGTCGTCGTCGTCGTCGTCGCGGCGTCCGTCGTCGTTCGTCGTCGTCGCGTCTCGGCGTCGTCGTTCGTCGTCGTCGTCCGTCGTCGGGTAGTCGTGGGAGTCGTCGTCGCCGTGGTCGTCGTCGTGGTCGTCGTCGTCGTCGTCGTCGTCCGTGTCGTCGTCGTCGTCGTCCGTGTCGTCGTCGTCGTCGTCGTCGTCGTCGTCGTCGTCGTCGTCGTCGTCGTCGTCGTCGTCGTCGTCGTCGTCGTCGTCGTCGTCGCTCGCATCATCGTAGTCGTCGTCGTCGTCGCTCGCGTCGTCGTCGTCGTCATCGCCGTCGTCGTCGTCGTCGTCGTCGTCGTGGTCGTTGTCGTCGTCGCTCTCGTCGTCGTCGTCGTCGACGTATTCGTTTTCGTCGTCGTTTTCGTCTTCCTCGTCGTCGTTCATTTCCACAGGCACCCGGAGCACCCCGGATCGGCGGCACTGGCCGGAGGCCACTACAATATACCCATCTTGTAGTATACCTTTTCCCGAGCGGCGCGGCCAGAAAGCGCCCACCACGACGCATATACTACAAGATTTCTCGGTGCGCGAGTCGCCCCTGGCGGGGGCGACGCACATACAATATAAGTATGTTGGGGTGACGCCAAGGGTAGCGGTATGGGAGAGGAGGAAAGGGTAGCGGCATGGGCACCTTCTCCGCCTCCGAGGACCCGCTTGGCCCTCAGGACCCGTTCCCCCCCGTGGCGAGGGGCCGAGAGGCCGCGGCCGCCAGGCGCGCCGCGGCGGGCTCGGCGGCCACGAGAGGCGACCCGTGAGGAGGAGGAGGAGAAGGAGGAGGAGGAGGAGGAGGAGGAGGAGGAGGAGGGAGGAGGAGGGAGGGGGAGGAGGGCGAGGGAGGAGGGAGGATGAGGATGAGGAGGAGGAGGAGGAGGACGGAAGGAGGTTGGGAGGAGAGGAGGAGGAGGAGGAGGATGCGGATGAGGAGGAGGAGGGAGGAGGAGGAGGAGGAGGGGGTATGAGGGGAGGGGACGAGGAAGGAGGATGAAGGAGGAGGAGAAGTAGAGGAGGGGGAGGAGAGGAGGAGGAGGAGGACCCCCTCCCAGACTTCCAAAATATAGAAAAACTCAAGACGGAGGTCTTTCTCGACTTTTGCGGCCTCCAGCGGCCCTCGCCGGGCCCTGGGACCGTCCAGAAACGACTCAGGATGAAAAACAAGTCCTGGGGAATGGGTCGAGACTTCCAGGGACCCCGCATTGAAAAAATCATGACGTCGGATCTCTGGGCTCGCGGCGTGCAGAGATCGTGACGGGAGGCCTTTCGCTGTTTTCGGCCTCCAGAGGCCCTCGCTGGGCCTCGGGGCCGTCAACAACACGGCTCGGGATGAGGAACGAGATCCGCGGGGCGCTCAGCTCCGCCCGGGGCGGCGAGGGCTGCCCCGGGCCGGGGCTCTCTCTCGGGAGGGTGCTGGCGGGGGGGGGGCCCAGTGGGGACCCCCGGAGGGTCCCGAGAGCTCGGAGCAGCGGCGACAGCGGCGACGAGACACCGCGGGGTCCGGTTGAAGCCTCAAGACCCGCTCCCCCCCGTGGCGACCGCCCCTCTGCTCTCCCCTCCCCTCCCTCCCCTCTGATTCCCCCTCCCCCTTCCCCTCCCTCCCCTCTGCTCCCCCTCCCCCTCCCCCCTCCCTCCCCTCCCCCGCCCCCCCCCTCTGCTCCCCCTCTGCTCCCCCTCCCCCCTCCCTGCTCCGTGCCGGACCTCCCCGAACGGGCCATGCCAAGAGAGCCGAGCCCAGCTCTTCGCTCCCGATGTCACTTGGGTTCCCTCTGACTCCTCTCCCTCCTCCTCGTCTCCTCCCTCCTCCTCCTCCTCTCTCCCTCCTCCTCCTCCCTCCTCCCTCTCCCCCTCCCTCCTCCATCCTCCATCATTCCCTCCTCCCTCCTCCCTACTCCCTCCTTCCCCTCCCTCCTCTCCCTCCCTCCATCCTCTCCCTCCTCCCTCCTCCCTCCTCCTCCTCCCTCCTCCCTCCCTCCCTCTCCTCCCCTCTCCTCCCTCCCTCTCCTCCCTCTCCTCCCCTCTCTCCCCTCCTCCTCCCCCCCCCTCCCCATCCTCCCTCCTCCCTCCCTCCTCCCTCCTCCCTCCTCCCTCCTCTGCCTCCTCTGCCTCGCTTGTCGCGTGTTCCGAGGAGCTGCCCTTCGCGCGCTCTCCTGCCCACGCGCCCCTGCGGATGCTCGGCTCAAAGATGGTGGTGGTGGGCCACTCCGGTGAGCACCCGCCCGGCTCTCTTGGCAGGCCCGCTCGGGGAGGTCCAGCACCGAACAGGGAGGGGGAGGGGGACCCTGACCTTCCAGGAGGGGTAAAAAATAACACCCGACTTAAAAACCTATCCCAAAGCTATTCTACGTCTTTGTTTTAGGCTGTTTCGCTCAGCTTTTTAGGTTTTTAGGTCTCCAGTGCTAAATTAGCCTGGCGAAGGACCCAACCATGTGCAGTTGTGAATGCCGCAATTGTGCTGGGTGGTGGCGGACGCATGCGGGCGGTGCCACTGGGACCTTCGGTGGAGCTCCCTATGGGGCCACGAAACGCTGTACTGGGTGGGTGAGACGCGGTCAGCAAGGGCTGTGCAGCGTGGTGGCGGACGCATGCGAGCGGTGCCACTGGGACCTTCGGTGGAGCTCCCTATGGGGCCACGAAACGCTGTACTGGGTGGGTGAAACGCAGGCAAGGAGCAAGGGCTGTGCAGGGTGGTGGCGGACGCATGCGGGCGGTGCCGCTGGGACCTTTGAGGAGCTCCCTATAGGGCTACGACGCGCTGTTCTGGGTGGGTGAAGCGCAGGGAACAAAGGCTGTGCTGGGTGGTGGCGGACGCAAGCGGGCAATGCCACTGGGGCCTTCGGTGGAGCTCCCTATGGAGCCACGAAACGTGTGAGGGGTGTGCCGAAATGGGGGGTGGAACCGCATGCGAGCGCAGCCACTGCGGCGTTCGGTGGAGCTCCCTATGGGGCCACGAGACGTGTGAAGGGCGTGCCGAAAAAAGGTGGTGGAACCGCATGCGAGCGCAGCCACTGGGGCCTTCGGTGGAGCTCTCTATTGGGCCACGAACCGTGTGAGTGGTGTGCCGAAATGGGGGGAGAACCACATGCGAGCGCAGCCACTGGGGCGTTCGGTGGAGCTCCCCATGGAGCCACCCACGAAGCGTGTGAGGGGTGTGCCGAAATGAGGGGTGGAACCGCATGCGAGCGCAGCCACTGGAGCGTTCGGTGGAGCTCCCTATGGGGCCACGAAACGTGTGAGGGGTGTGCCAGAATGGGGGGTGGAACCGCATGCGGGCGCAGCCACTGGGGCCTTCGGTGGAGCTCCCTATGGGGCCACGAAACGTGTGAGGGTTGTGCCAGAATGGGGGGTGGAACCGCATGCGGGCGCAGCCACTGGGGCCTTCGGTGGAGCTCCCTATGGGGCCACGAAGCGTGTGAGGGGTGTGCCGAAAGGGGTGGTGGGGAGGCATGCGAACGCAGCCACTGGGGCCTTCGGTGGAGCTCCCTATGGGGCCACGAAGCGTGTGAGGGCGCGTGCGGGTGTGCCAGAATGGTGGGTGGAACCGCATGCGGGCGCAGCCACTGGGGCCTTCGGTGGAGCTCCCGAATGGGGGGTGGAACCGCATGCGGGCGCAGCCACTGGGGCCTTCGGTGGAGCTCCCTATGGGGCCACGAAACGTGTGAGGGGTGTGCCAGAATGGGGGGTGGAAACCGCATGCGGGGCAGCCACTGGGGCCCTTCGGGGAGCTCTCCTTCGGTGGAGCTCCCTATGGGGCCACGAACCGTGTGAGGGGTGCGCCAGAATGGGGCGGGGCCGCCATGCGAACGCAGCCACTGGGGCCTTCGGTGGAGCTCCCTATGGGGCCACGAAACGTGTGAGGGGTGTGCCGAAATGGGTGTGGGTGACGCATGCGGGCGGCAGCTCTGGGGCCTTCGGCGGAGCTTCTACTATGGGGCCACGAAACGTGTGAGGGGTGTGCCGAATTGTGTGTGGGTGACGCATGCAGGCGGCAGCACTGGGGCCTTCGGCGGAGCTCCTATGGGGCCACGAAACGGGTGAGGGGTGTGCCGAAATGGGTGTGCGGGACGCATGCGGGCACACCCACTGGGACCTTCGGTGGAGCCCCCTATGGGGCCACGAAACGTATGAGGGGTGTGCCGAAATGGGTGTGCGGGACGCATGCGGGCGCGAGCACTGGGGCCTTCGGTGGAGCTCCCTATGGGGCCACGAAACGTGTGAGGGGTGTGCCGATATGGGTGTGGGTGACGCATGCGGGCGCAGGCACTGGAGCCTTCGGTGGAGCTCCCTATGGGGCCACGAAACGTGTGAGGGGTGTGCCGAAATGGGTGTGGGTGACGCATGTGGGCGCGGGCACTGGGGCCTTCGGTGGAGCTCCCTATGGAGCCACGAAACGTTTGAGGGGTGTGCCGAAATGGGTGTGGTTGACGCATGCGGGCGCGGGCACTGGGGCCTTCGGTGGAGCTCCCCATGGGGCCACGAAACGTGTGAGGGGTGTGCCGAAATGGGTGTGGCTGACGCAAGCGGGCGCGGGCACTGGGGCCTTCGGTGGAGCTCCCTATGGAGCCACGAAGCGTGTGAGGGGTGTGCCGAAATGGGTGTGGGTGACGCATGCGGGCGCGGGCACTGGGGCCTTCGGTGGAGCTCCCTATGGAGCCACGAAACGGTGTACTGGGGGGGTGAAGAGGAGAGGAGGAGAGGAGGGGAGGAGAGGAGGAGAGGAGAGGAGAGGAGAGGAGAGGAGAGGAGAGGAGAGGAGAGGAGAGGAGAGGAGAGGAGAGGAGAGGAGAGGAGAGGAACGCGGGGCACCGTCTCTTCAAAACGAGGACCCAACACCACAGGATGGTTGGGAAAAATAGCTCTCTGGAAGGTCAGGGGAGAAGGGGGGGGGAAGAACGGGTCCGGAGGGAAACGGGTCCCGAGCGAGGTTGTTCGCCGTTTTTCCAACCTCACGGGTCCCTCCAGGGCCCCGGGACTGTCCGTAAACGACTCGTCGGGAGAAAGATCTCGTGCTGGGGAAAGGCACCAGGGTCCAGAACCCGCTTCCCTCAGGACCTTTTCCCCCCATGCTAGGGAGGCATGGAGGACCTAAACCCCTGACGTCGTGATATGTTTCAAGACGTCGACCTTTTGATGTCGAGAGCCCTTCCCCTGGACCGGCTTCTAAACCTGAGTCGTTTTTTGACGGTCCCGAGGCCTGGTGAGGGCCCCCAGAAACCGAAAGTAGGGAAAAGCCTCCCGTCGTGTTTGTTTGTTCACAGCGCGACGGGGTCTGGGGAGCGCGGGCGAAGGAGGGTGGAGCGCAGGGAGGTGGATCGGGGAGGGGGGGGGACAGAGGGCGTGTCTGCCATGCTGGAGTCCAGGGGCGCGCGGAGGCCTCGTGCAGCTCGCAGACGACATCGCTCTTGGGCGTGTTCAGTAGCAGCGTCATGGACGAGCGCCATTGCGTCTCCTACCGCAACCGTCCCGCCACGAGGGGGAGGAGGGGGGAGGAGGGAGGAGGGGGGAACAGGGAGGGAGGAGGAGGAGGGAGGAGGGGGGGCAGAGGGGGAGGAGGGGGAGGAGGGAGGGGGGAGGAGGGGAGGAGGAGGGAGGGGGGAGGGAGGGGAGGAGGGAGGCGGAGGGGAGAGGAGGGGAGGAGGAGGGAGGAGGGAAGGAGGAAAGGAGGAGGCGGAGGGGAGGGAGGGAGGGAAGGAGGGAAGGAGGGAGGCGGAGGGGAGGGAGGAGGGAGGAGGAGGGAGAGAGGGAAAGGGAAGGAGAGGGACCAGAGGCCCGGCCGGTGCGGCCGAGAGCGCCAGCGCGGCGCAGCCGACGCTGGCGGACCGCGGCGAGGGCCCGGCGCTCCCACGACGGGCAGGCGCGGGCCGTGCGGCCCTGCCAGGCCCTGAGCTGCCCAGCCTCCCGGGAGCCCCGCAGCCAGTGCTGCTGGACGCCCCGAGGAGGGGTCCAGTCGAGACACTGCCATAGAAGGAACCCTGAAAAAAGAACGAAGCCCCTGCTTTCCATAAGTTGAGCGTTGAGTTCCCATCGCAGACCTCAGGAGAGCCTCAGACAAGCTGCAAAACGGTTCAGGAACACCGAGCCCTTCCCCAACGAAAACGGTTCCTTCTCCACGGGCCCGACTGGAAGTACGGGAACAGGGGGGCCTTCATTTTATGCCCAGCAGCAGACGTTGTCCCAGACCAGCAGCGGCCGCTGTTGGGCAGGCGGCCTTCGCTTTTTCAGCTGGACACAGTCCGCGGCGGCACCGACAGGGAGGAACTGCTGCCAGTCTTCGTACCCATTATTTCCGCAGCCACTTCGATCTTCCCGAAATGTTAAGTGGCCCGCCCGGGGAAACCCCAGGCCCCACAATGCTGACGCGATCCACGTCGAATCCGTGTGAAATCCGTGTCGAGCGAATCGAATCCGTGTCGAATCCTCGTCGAATCTGCGTCGAAGACAAGACGGCCGTTTACAGGACAGGATCGGGAGCGCGCGAGCAAGGATTAGCGATCCATGGATCTGGCACGCGGTCACCAAATCCATGGATCGGGGGAGGTGCCCTCCCCAAAATGGCACCGGTTCCGCCCCGCTCGGCGGCGGAAATCCGCGACAACGAGACCCGCCACTGATCCACGCCCCCTTGATTCATGTTTGCGATCGCCTGAGGAATGACTACCTACCAGACCACCTCAACCCAACCCGAAGACCCGAATTTGACCCGAATTTCGGATAGGGGGGGGGGGCGGGCTCCATACATGTTTTTACAACATGTTCCCCGACCCCCCCCTCCACTGGGAATGGAGGGCAAATTGAGGCCTTCGGGTTGGGCTGGGGTGGCTTGGTGAGTGGTGAAGGATCGGGCGTTGGCAAAACTGGGTTTAGTGGGGCCTGGTTCAGTGGTGTGTACTGGGGACGCCCCTCCCGCCCCCTTCCACTGACCGGATCTGCCGTCACCCGAACAAGCACCACCCATGTATACGGCAGACCTGGTGGAGTGCTTCTGGCCACTTCAGGGGCTCCAGGGCCCTACCACTAAGCGGGTCCCCCTGCCTGGGGCCCTGGCTATACCCGAGAAAGGTCCCCTGACCACTTGAGCAGGGACCGACCGTCCCGGCATTCCCATAGTCATACCACGACATGTTCTTAGAACCCAAAAATGTTCTCAGAACAAAAGCAATGTTCTTAGAACATACACCCGCTGTGTTAAAACAAGACGGTCCCGGCCAGAAATGTTCTAAGAACACCTCGAGGGAACCACAAAAGGTTCTCAGAACACTGTTTGGTGGGGCTGTAGGCGAGCCGGGACGCTTCGCCACTGCTTGAACCACGGCCGACCTCCGCCCACGGAGCCAAAGGTGCCCTCGCGCTCTTCCCTCGCGCCCGCCTGCGCCGGCCTCCCCGGGCGAGGGCGGGGCGCCTCCGCCCCGCGGGGTGTACACGAGCAGGTGGGGCCGGCGGCGCGCGCCGCCTCGCCGCTGCACTGCCGATGCACCTCCTCCTCCTCCTCCTCCTCCTCCCTCCTCCTCCTCCTCCCTCCTCCTCCTCCTCCTCCTCCTCCTCCTCCTCCTGCTCCCTCCTGCTCCCTCCTCCTCGCTCCTCCTCCTCCTCCTCGCTCCTCCTCCTCCGCCCTCCCCTCTCCTCCTCCTCCTCCTCCTCCTCCTCCTCCTCCTCCTCCTCCTCCTCCTCCTCCTCCTCCTCTCCTCCTCCTCCTCCTCCTCCTCCTCCTCCTCCTCCCCTCCTCCTCCTCCTCCTCGCCTCCTCTCCTCCTCCTCCTCCTCCTCCTCCTCCTCCTCCTCCTCCTCCTCCTCCCCCCCCTCCCGAGCCAGGCCTCGAAACGCCCAGGACACCCACGCCTGACGCGCGCCAGCTGCCGCGAGCAGGGGCGAGAACGAGGCAGGCAGAAGGAAGTCTATACACCGACGCTTTTTGCGGCCCTGCACTGAAACTTGCACTGGAGAGCGGATGCTGGTGCATACGGGTCACCCTGGTGTATACATGTTTCATGGTTTCCCCGGGACGTCGAGGAAAGAAGTGTACACCACACCACCCCAGCGGGGTCCCCGACCCTCAAAAGGGCCTGGGGTTGAAAAACAGCCCGCCACTGGTAAGGTATATGTCCCAGTTTCCGACCAGCAGCGAAAACGTAGATAAAGGACGGGTGGTAAGGACGCAAGACCCTTGGAGGCCGAAGTTGGGACTCGTTGGGGCAGCGGGCGACCCAAACCCCAGCGGGAGCGGCAACGGACGGGCCAAAGAGGCAGGGACACAAGGGTACCCTAGAATCCTGGAACAGGCGCGCGTCCTTACTATGCGCGTTGACCGTACGATGCAACGGCCGCGGGGGCGATGCATCGGCGCCGCCGGCGTGGAGAAAATCGCCCCCCCCACATCGAGCAGCATCGCCGATGCATCGGCGATGCGGCGCGATCCTCGGACCCCATCCGGACTGACCCCCATCTGTGCGACGACTAAGAACGGGTCTTACGCGAGATGGCGTAGCGACAGCCGCCGCGGCTTACGCGGGCCACCAAAGCGGCGCGCTACATCGGAGACGAGGCGACATTACACAAGCAACTTACGCGCCGAATGTCGGCGCAGACGACGCCGTGATCTTACCTCACGCACATGCTGTCCAGAACCGACAGCGGCCGCTGTTGGGCAGGCGGCCTCCTGTCTCAAATGGACAACGTCCGCGGTAACGCCGACAGCGAACCTGGTTCAAAATGGGCAGGGACCGCTGTTTGCCTTCGTCCGAATTCTCCCCGTACTTGTTTCGATCGTACCGATCCTTAGGCGACAGGTCACCCTTCTCGCCCGGCTTGCCGAACGACGCCTGCTTCTCGCGGACCTTGACGACCACGCCCAGCTGGTCGGACAAGCGGCGGGCCTGAGCGCGCAAGCGCCGTCGTCGGCGGCGGCAGTCAGCGGAGAAAAAACAGCAGGAAGGCCAGCAGGACGAGGGGTGAGGCGAGAACGGGAAATCCAAGATCAGCAGCCGGACGCGAAAGAAGTCAGAGGATACATAATACATTTTACACACGCACACAGAGAAAACGTGAGGGGAGGAGCATCAACGCCAGCAGGAGAAACAACAGCATCAGCTGGAAGAGGGATATGGGGGAGGGGGGCAAACGACAACGGGACAAGGAGAAGGAACGATGGAGTAGCGAGAGGAGAGAGAGAGAGAGAGAGAAACAAAAAACAACGAGAGGGTGAAAGGGCAAGCTAGGTGAGGAGATCGAGTCCGCATCCGCACCGCAATCATCTTCACAGTGTTGCCGCGGGCGCAACAGCAGGGGCCGTCGGCGGCGTCGGGGGGGCCCAGGCGGTCAAGTCTCTTTGGCCGCTTTGGCCAATGGGTGTCGCCCAGGAACCAGGAGCCAGCACTCCTTCATGGTCTCCTTGAGGGTCGCCAACCATCACGGTGTCCGGGACGTGGGCGTCGGCTCTGGCACGTCCGCCCATGAGCTGGGCGACGCAGCCGGGCATCCTCCCCGATATGTGCCTCCGACGACGTAGTGTTTCGAAAAAATCGCCGTACTGCTGTTGGGTCCGAAGCACCATACCGTTGAGAGGTTGTCACAATGACGCCGTTCTACCTGGTGGCATGCGTTGTGCCCGTGCCAAAATAGCGAAGGGCACTTGGAAGTTGCCTGGGCCAAAACCTGCAGCGTCAGCTTCCACTCAAACAATTATCCACCTAACCAAAACGCTGTCGATGGGCTTGTTGGCCTGCACCCTGAAGCCCATGGCGTCGAGACCTCGTTGTAGTTGTCGTTCGCCCTCGAGGCTCTTGGACCCCTGGGCCAAATGATGCAAGGGGTAGGCGACCGGATAAGCGCGGACGCCGTTCACCTCGGCGGCGAAGTTGATGACGCCAGGTGGGATCCTCATAGGTAGCGTGCGGGCCAGGCCTTGAAGACCACGTTTTCAAAGATGCAGTTTGCAGCGACGGCGTCACGCGTCCAGGATGAACGTTCACCCAGGCGTGAACCCCGCGATTCCAAACGCGGTACGGGACCGAACCCGCGGGGCCCCTGGTCGGACCCATTGTCTGGTCGCCTTCTCGCTCACGGCTCCTAAGGCCGATAGTGAACCCAATGGCCGCTGCAGTCAGTCCGTACACCACAATTACCAAATAGTCTTGATCGATTGGAAAATGTTGAAGACATAACGGTGCGGCTGGAAGCGGCAATGGCGCCAGTCGCATTACCAAAAGCGGTTGGGGACAGAGAAAAGTTCGCAAATCGGCGATCCTGTAGGTCGGAGATGTAGGGATCGTTCGCGTCACCGCGAACGAATGTAGACGGGGTTGTGGTGGAAGAGGTCATCGTAGAAGTCGCGGTCACGGTCGAGGTTCCTCGCGCGCTCGACGTAGAAAGGGGCGCGGGTGCAGTCGTCGTCGTCGTCGTCGTGGCAGTGGTCGAGATACCTCGCGCGCTGGACGACGGTGCGGGAGATGGAGTAGTGGATGAGGAGAGGAAGGCCTTCGGCATGTCGGTCGGATCTCCTCGCGCGCTGGGAGTCCATGTAGCGGGGGGAGTCGGCGCAGTGGTCGCGTAGCGGCAGGTACCCATGAGGCGGACGTTCAAGCACGCGCCGACACGCTCGTGTAGTAGTCATGCGGGTAGCCTCCGCTGCGCGTGGCGATGGCGTCGTGCGTCATGGCGCTCAGGGCGAAAGTGAGCAGAGCTGCCGCGGCTGCGACAGCTCCGCTACCAAGCTTGATGCGAGAGAGCCATGCCATTGTAGTCACAGTGGTATGGTAAAAATGAAGGAGAAATGTCGATGGGAGGCAATAACAAGCCCTTTTGGCTCCAAGGGCCGCAAATCGACTGCAGGCTGCGTCGCCAACATTGGCAAATTGGGCGACGCTGCCTTTGAGCGGTGACGGCAGCGGTGTAGGCAAGCATCTGCCCCCCCCATGGGGACATTACCTCAAATGTCTCCCCCTCCATCTTGAAGGACCCATCGCTGTGCACGCCGAGTCGCCTGGCACACTTCATAGTTAGCTGAAAAGGAGATGCGTGCCCTGATGTTCTGCATGGCCGGAGCGACGGAGTTGAGCTGCATCGCGTTTCTCTTGAAGGACCCATCGCTGTGCACGCCGAGTCGCCTGGCACACTTCATAGTTAGCTGAAAAGGAGATGCGTGCCCTGATGTTCTGCATGGCCGGAGCGACGGAGTTGAGCTGCATCGCGTTTCTGATGAGCATATTGTTTTTGGCTCTCTGCAATGCGACGATGTTCCCCCAAGACAGCCACACGAGAGGCCCCACAGAGGGAGTCCGAACCGTGTCGAGCCTTCCTCCCCGAGATGGCTCCAAAAGAAGCCCCACAGAGGCCCCGGAGGCGCACCCAAGAGGCCCCAGAAGGTCTCCAAGAGGTGCAAATCAGGCCCCAAGATGCCCCGACGAGGCCCCAAAATCGTCTCCAAAATGCCCCCGAGCGGTCTACCAAGAGATCCCCACAGGCATCCGAGAGGCCTCTGACCTACACCGTGGACACGGTGGCAGAATGGGCCGAAGGCCAGTACAGCAAATACATCACGAACAGACACCCAGAACATACACTCACATGGACTACACACAAGAATCATACACCAAAATCAGCCACCAGGAACCGTGATGAACATCAGACACCAAGAACAGACGACAGGGCCACGCATGAGTTCGAAGACATCAAGAACATATATATCAAGGCCACACCTCAACAGTAGACATAAAGAGCATGTGCCTTGATATAGTGAAGCCCCATTCTGGCGATCGATCGAAGCAAACTCATGCAACTGTTTTCTATGGGGGAA